TAGTTGTCGCCATTGTAAAAGCTAGTCAGGGAGTGTCATCGAGAGTGGATTCTGGCGTGGGGTCACCCCTTTACCGACAGGACTTCGACGCCTGAAGGACGCAACGTTCAATGGAACGGGCCCCCATCTGGCAGCGGTAAAGACCTACGCCTTGCTGACGCGCCCCCGACTGAATACAGTCGGTAGCGACTGTAAAGCGAAAGCAGATCGTGGCGTATGTGAATTGGCATAGCAGCGGTCGCTCTAGAGCTAACCCGATTCTCAGGTTCTATCGCAATCAGGGCCGTCGAGAGGGAGAGGGGGTAAAGAAGGAGGAGGAGCGCCCGTAAAACGGGAAAAGCGAGAAAAGTTGAGATCACAACCACCTCCCTTCAGCGACGTGTGAACGGCCTAATCGCGATGGTCGGAGGTCACACTGTAGAAACTTAGTAGATGGATTCTGTTCGGGAAGAGACAACATATTCTCCTCCAATCTGCCCGAGTTCCCAAAGTCCCAGTGTGCGACTCGCTTATACGCGGTATCTGTTCTCTCCAAATCCCTGGAGTCGTTGTCAACAAAGCAAGGCGCAACATAGTTGTGAGTAAATTTGAATGTTTGAGCAAGGGCGTATAGTCGGACACGTGTAACATGATAACGCCAATCACGAAGAAGTCACGTAAATGATATATTCTTGAGTGATGTGGTTTTTGGACCGGATCACAGCCGAACAGTTAGCAAGTGGTGCCACTCATACTACTTACACAGTCCGCAGATTGTTTGTAATTGTTGCTTTAAATCCAACAGCTTTGAGATTAGGACTTTGGACGCAGTTCTACTTGGTGGGGACACCAATTTTTGCTCAGCTAACGATTGCGTACAGGCCACCTTGTGGAGAGTTGCAAAATTTCTGTGACCAGAACCTGGCTCAACTGGCGCACGCATTTCGACAGCTTCACAAGAGTTCGCGGTCGAACTGTAGTAACTATGAATTAAGCAAAGGAAGCAAGCGAATCAGGCCGGCTCCAGCCGGAAAGCAGCGTCGTACTTCTGCTCTCGGTCGCACCAAAGTGTCTGCAACAGGTCTATCTCCGATCAGGAAAAGCAAAAAGAAACTAGCCTTAACTTTTCTCAATGCTTCGACGAATTTAAATACAACAAGACTATCGGTGCATGCTCGGCTTGGAAGAGGCGTACCATAACCACTTCGTGCTAGTTTATGGTTATACAAACAGATATCGCACCTGATGATGAGCTGTAATTTCTTGAAGGTGGTCATAAGGTCCAGCCACTATGGTTATCATCGAATTTATACATAAGTCATTTACACAGTGAACTAGCATTCAAATGGTATAGATATTTACTTGGTGCCCCCTCAAGAGGCCAAAATACAGCGGCAGACTATCAAAAGGAGCTGATCTATGCGCATGTGATTATCTCGTGGAGGGAAAGAGCAAGTTGGTAGTTCAGAGAACATGTGTGATTTCCGAATCATGTCCCGTTCAGCAATTCATTTGCTGCGTGAAATTGCCATGATAAGCGATAAGGGGCAAAAGCTAAGTGGAAGTGAGATCCCTCAAGATCAGGATTTAACGTGCGCGGCCGATTCCTCTACGTAGAGTGTCGTAGATGGCAGCGATGAACAGCAGCGAAGTGACAACAGCAGTGACAACATGAGGTAGGAACAGGGCACATGAGCTAGGAACAGGATCGTTGTAGGGACCTCCCGCAACAGGGTGGGGGCATTTGACCACTAGGGGGAGGGGGGATTTGGTCCGAGCAAATTTTCTTGATAGTTGATTTTTCTTGGTTCACGGGTGCTATAAGGGGCAGTCGTACCTACTCTTTGTTGGTAGCCTTCGGAGAGAAATTTTCAGTTGACATGCTTCCTATCGCAGTTTTCCCGTTTCACTGCTGCTGCATTCTCCCCCCTCTTGCAGGGCACATCGTTGTTGGGGAATCCCCAATAGGGGGTCGTATTTGGCCGCCAGGAGAGGGGGTCGTATTTGGGCTGAGAAAAATTTATTTTGATAGTTGATTTTTCTCGCTTCACGGACGTTGTAAAGGGGGGGGGTACTTGGTCATTGTTGGGAGGGGGGGTCGTATTTACGTTTTGACGTTGTAGGAGCAGACAGCAAAATTTTTGGGGAAAAGTAGGGAACTGTTTCGGGAAATTTTGGAAAAAGTGGCAGGGGGATTTGAAAATTGGTAGAAGGGGGGGGTCGTATTGTCTCGCGGCTTTTCCTGTTTCACATGTACTATTTACCCTCTTACCCCCTTAACCCCTCCCCGCCGGAAGAGGGTCGTACCAACCCCCAGAAAAGGAGGAGGGGTCGTACAGACTCGACTAAAATCCCCAACCAATAATGTGCCCTGCCTTCTCGACCGCTTAATCGGAACTAAGGGGAGTCTTACCAGGCCACTCTTTGAGGGGGTTGTCGCACGGGTTCGACCAAAATCCCCAACCACTGATGTGCTAGGGTGACGCCGGCCAAATCAGTAAGAAAATGCGATGAGCTTCTTACTTGGAAACCGGAAACTTGCTTGACCAGATGAAGAACTTTTGATGTTAAGATCGTCCCTGATTGGTGCACCATTTTTGCGCAGTGCGTTTTTATTAGTCTACACACGATCGAAGCTGAGCCACTATTTACCCAGTTTTCACCGAATTTCTTATCGAGGTGCGACTCTGGATAAAAACTCCTTCTTAGTGGTGATTTGACCTCCTGGCCACGAATATCACATTCGCTCGGCCCGATGCTGCCTGGCGCCTGCGTCTCAGGTGCCGGTCCCAAAATGCGTTAAATCACTAAATTCGCTGAGAGCTTGTGATCTGAGGTTGTTCGACCTCCTAAAGGCAAACACATCTGAGAGGTGCCAAAGAATTTGTTAATTTGGTGACTGGGTACACGTGATAGCACAGCCTGCTTCTGCTCGCTAGTCTGCACGCCTGCACGCTACCCTCGAGACAGTTACCCCTTGCCTGTGCTAGGGCTGAGTTTCAGTGAAGGGGAAGGATCACCATCACAAGCAAGCAGAAAAGGTACTGCCTTGTCTCGCCGTGCATCTGCCTGCCTTATCGCAGTGCTCGGCATAAGACGACTGGGGGCAGTTCGGCGACGTGGATGGAAGGATGTGGGGGAATAGAATTTTGCACTTTCGCTGCTCGACTAGTTCCGGTTTGCATATGTTACTCCGGTGGAACCTGTGTACTCCTGTGAAGCGTGTCGAGCCTGTCAACTCTTGTAAGCTCATGAAATAGCTCCCTAGATGGCTTGACACGTCGATGGGAAGCAGCAAAAAAGCAAAATGCCCCCCACCCACTCCTCGCCAAATCTCGCTGACGACTGGAATCCGTGCTCACATGCCGAAGTAGGAACAAGTATGTGAGCCGTCGCTCGCGGCGCGTGCTTTGGGCGGTTTCAGACAAAGCTGATGTGATATCCGTGGGCGATCAAACCAGCCCAGATCTCAGCGAATCAGGTGGTTTGTGGTGTTCGGAAGGTTAAACTACCCTTGGAGACCAATTTGTACACAAATCGAGGTCCTGCCCTAAACAAATGAATATGGGTCGTAAAGAGTAAGTGGCGCTGGATTTGATAAATTGAGATCAAAACCGGCGCAGTTCGGCGACGGAAAAAGGCATTTTGTGCTCTTGCTGCTTCACTGGTTCCGGTTTACAGATCTCGTCCTGGTCTCCAGAATCAGAATCCTGTGAATCCTTGCGATAATGGAGCAAGCTCGCCGAGCCACCACGGTAAAACCTGTACCTTGTAAGCTCACGAAAGGGCTCTCTAGATGGGTCGACACGTCGATGGGAAGTAGCAAAAGTGCAAAATGCCCCCCCCCCTTCGTCGAACTGCCCAACTAGAGCCAACTACAGGGTGCTAGTAGTTCATTAATACTATGATGAGCAGCACATGAGATACCTTACCAGTGCTAGGAGTTTCATAGGCCATTTTCCGTAGTCCCACTAATATTGGAGTCGAGTGCGTGGCGCATCCCATAGCAAAGTCAATCGAAGCGATTACTTTATTTCCTATTCATCATAAAAGCAGAACTGGCTGGGTCCTGCGAGAATTCCGAGTATTCTAGAAGGGGCTATGGACAATGAAGTGAAGGGACCCACCTGTTTGCCAGCTGAGAAAATTTTCCTCAGTATTTTCGCAGTAGACCATCATCTAAGACAATTCCACAGAGATAGTCAAACTGTTGTTGGAAAAAGAGAACCCCGTCGATTTTGAGCCCTCTTCACATCGTTTTCCCAGTCTATACCTAAACCTACCCCGCTTGCCTGAAGTTAGTCCCAGCAGAAGTTTAGACAAATTGCACAGAAATCTCAATTTTGGGCTAATGGGAGAGCTAGGGAGTGCTACGAAGTGGGCTATGACATCTTCGGAACAAGAAGATGAAAGTGCTTCAAAAAATAAAGCTAATTTTTTGATTTCAACTCTATAGTTTCAAGCAATATAAGGCTGGCCAGTTGAAAAGGACGTTGCACTTTGCAGGGGCATGATCGATAAAGGATAGACGAGCAAATGTATTGGCATCGGACCTGCAGAGATCAATTTTTAATGCAGACCTCTCGATTTTATCCGCCTCTCATACCGTCCTAGATTATTGACTCTTTTGTACAACAGTTAGTTCATTTTATTTTTCCATATTGAGGTGTTCGCCAAAGAAATGGGTGCAGCAGCGATAAAGTACAGCTCCTCCCTCCCTGGTCAAGAAAAGTGGTGTGGTCTCTTTAGTCTCCCGCCTGATTTCGTGGCCTCTATTGGTTAGGCAATTTCTAGAAGACTGCACTGGGCACTATAAATAGGCGGTGAAGAGCGGACAGTTCAGATCACCTTTTTCTTCGGCTTCGGTTCTCCTCGAGTGGTCCTATGGACGCCCTTCTTCTGCTCTATGGCTTCACCCAGCCTTGGCTTTATTGGCTTCAAACTCTCCTCTCTACTTTCAGCTCTCTCATTCTCTGGCTCTCCGATCCCAGGCGATATAACCCTTTTTCAGGAAAACTAACATGGCGCTTTGGCCCACCCGTCGTGTCGGAAACCTCATGCACGATATCGAGAGGGACATGATGGATCCCTACAGGCTAATGCGCGACGTGGACCGCTTTGAGCGCCAGATGGAGCGCCGAATGGAGCGTGAAATGCATCCGTACTTGGGCGAGGACCACTCAATCTTTCGTCTTGCAAATGAGGCTCATGAGGTTGGGACCATTTCAGAATTCCTCCATGAGGTGAGGTGTCGAGTGGGCTCTTGTTCAGGTAGTGAACGACGAGAAGAAGTTCGCTGTCGCGGTTGATGTGTCGCAATTCAAGCCGGAGGAGCTGAAAGTGCACATCGAAGGACGAGACCTTACCATTGAAGGACGCCAAGAGATTAAGACCGACCACGGTTTCACGGAGAGGTGGGTGCAGACCGATTTTCACGGCCCTACAAGGGTTATGAGGTGATTGCTGCTGTTTCAGGTCGTTTGTCCGCAGATGGGCACTTCCCGATGACGTTGACCTCGATGCTGTGCACACTCAGCTGATGAATGACGGCAAGTTAGAGATCGAGGCTCCGAAGACTGGCGAACACACCAACAGAAGAACACTTCCTATCATGGGTCCTAAAAAGTAATTCACATCTGTAAATAGTTTTATCAGAAATAAATTATTTATTTTTATCTAGTTGAAAAATTCCTCTGCTGGATTTGCAATGTACAATAGGAGGAGATTGGGAAGATATAGGAGAACATTGATAGGAAACTATCAGGTTTCCCTATGGCAATAGCGCAGTGGTCGATGGAGCCGCTTGCAGCGTGCGCGATGTGGCGGTCAAATACCGTTTCGCTTCAGAGCCAGCTGGCCGTCCCGTGCTCGGCACCGGAGG